AATAACGTGGGTAAGGTCCGAGAGGCTGGCCAGCAGAACTGAAATCTAGAAGTGTAGCAAGTGTTAACCACCTTCGGAAGAAGGGAGGAAGAGGAGAAAATTACAAAGGAAACAATAGGATGATGTTTATCAACACAGCAAAGCTGATTAAATGGTTCATGGAACGGTATAATTACATCCTTTCATAAGCCTTGTGAAATACAATACAGTGGATCAAGATTCAGTCATATTGATTAAATCCAAATTATTTACTTGATTACTTTCAGAAGGTACAGGTAAAACTGAAGTTTCAACTTTGGCTGTTACGTTTTTAATCAGATTAAAAATATTGCAAAATTCAATTTTCTAGAAATTAAGACAGTCAGCAATGCCCACCCTATGTGTGTGGCTAAAGTAGCTGTACCTTTAGGAAACCCTGTTAGGCCACCACTGACAGGATAAAGTTTTAACATATGCTTATTCAAATGTGGAACTATAAAGAGTAGAAGCACCCTCCCTGACAATATGAGCAAAGAATGCAGACCACCATTTATAATTGCTACCACTTTCCCTACCCCTCCATTTTTCATTTGTCAGATTGGTAAGCCAAATAACGGACCTTAATAAGAGTTATGATAATGGATTGAAATCCCAAAATACTATAGGCATTTTTAGTCCTTAATTCCAATATATATATATTTAAAAGAGGATTGCTACAGAGATAAGATAATTGCAAGTGTGAGACCAATTGGATGTAACACCTAAAAATGTCAAAGAAACTTCAAACTGCCTCAACTGTAATCTCTTGTGATTATGAAGATAACAAGTGTCAGACCACCCTTCTGCTCAACTGCAGGCCAACCCTTTCATAGTACAGCCCAGATGACAGACATAGTTTCCATTTTCCCTTTGAAGAATACATAAGGGCAGGGGTTAAAAAGCCATTTTCAATTCCACTGATAGAGACAACCGTGACTGAATGCTTATTGGATACCTGTTTAGGTTTGAGAGTCAGTGTGCCCAGTGAACTTCAAAGTCAAAGAACTATTCTCTAGTTACCTCTATGTTACATGGAAAGACTCTAGATGCTGTAAACCCGCTAAAACATGAATCAAGACAAAGGAACTTCAATCAGCCACAAAACCAAACATCGGAAATCAACCATTCAACTACCAATGTCAATGTTATCAGTAACCACTGCAATGGCCACATGTTTAACTATTCACTCTTTTTGGAAATCACCTCCTCTTTCTAAGCCATGTGAATTTGTGTTGCATATGTAGTAATGAATAAAGTCAGTCTTTTTATTCACTGAAGAAAGCCTGGTTAAACTGCCAACTGATGAAATATAAGTTCATTTGGCTTTGGGAGAAAGATACCCACAAGGTATTCACAACCAACTGAGAGGGATGGGAGACTGAGGAAGGGGAGCCAGTTCATCCCTCCTCACATGGGACCTTGACAGTTTTGGGTATCCCATCTGGAACTGCAGTGATTTGGTGTCTGGTCATAATAAGAAACACACAGATTACATAACCTATTCTGACATTTCAGGCCTAGACCCTTCATCAGAAAAGGGGGAGGGGAAGCGGGTTCTGAAATAAATAGGGAGAGAGTGGGAGGCGGATAGAAGATGGATAGAGGAGAGGATAGGTGGAGAGGAAACAAACGCAATAAACAACTGCACCTCCCAGTCGCAAACCATTTCAACTCCCCCTCCCATTCCTCAGACGACATGTCCATCCTGGGCCTCCTGCAGTGCCACAACGATGCCACCCGAAGGTGGCAGGAACGGCAACTCATATTCCGCTTGGGAACCCTGCAGCCCAATGGTATCAATGTGGATTTCACATGCTTCAAAATCTCCCCTCCCCCTGCCGCATCCCAAAACCAGTCCAGCTCGTCCCTGCCTCCCTAACCTGTTCTTCCTCCCACCTATCCCCTCCTCCCACCTCAAGCCCCACCCCCATCTCCTACCGACTAACCTCATCCTGCCCCCTTGACCTGTCCGTCCTCCCTGGACTGACCTATCCCCTTCCTAACTCCCCACCTACACTCACCTTTACTGGCCCCATCCCCGCCTCTTCGACTTGTTTGTTTCCTCTCCACCTATCCTCTCCTCTATCCATCTTCTATCCACCTCCCACTCTCTCCCTATTTATTTCAGAACCCCCTCCCCCTCCCCCTTTTCTGATGAAGGGTCTAGGCCTGAAACGTCAGCCTTTCTGCTCCTATGATGCTGCTTGGCCTGCAGTGTTCATCCAGCCCTGCACCTTGTTGTCTCGGATTCTCCAGCATCTGCAGTTCCTACTATCTCTGATTCAAACATAACCTATTCTCCCTTGTTAATTTCTTTTACATTCTATTGTGCTAGTTACTGTGATTTGTGTCAGTTCATTTCTGGCAGCAGATTGTATCTAATTGCTGTTTCTCTACCTATGAAACCAGCAGTCAGTACACATGGAGAAATCTCTACCTGAGTTAGACATTTCAAGGGGAAGATTTGAATACACCAGCTATTTCTGGCAGCAGGAACTTTTTTCAAACTTCCAGCAATAATCTTCGTATCTGTAACATCCCTAGGCTGCTTAGAATAATTGAAAGAGACAATGATAGTTAAGGGGAGGTGTTGGCCCAGTGGTATTATCACTGGACTGTTAATTCAGGAAACTCAGCTAATGCTGTGGGGACCTGGATTCAAATCCCCCCCCATGGCAAACCAAATATAAATGGAATTAAGAGTCTAATGGTGACTATGAAACCATTGCTGATTGTTCAAAAAAACCCATCTTTAGGGAAGGAAACTGCTATCCTTACCTGGTCTGGCCTACAAGCGGCTCCAGACCCACAGCAATGTAGTTGACTCTTAACTGCCCTCTGTGCAATTAGGGATGGGTAATAATTGCTGGCCTAGCCCGCACTGCCCTCTTCCCATAAAGAAAGAAAATTACAACATCTGTAAAAGTCCTAAAGTCAAAACTGTGGTGTTTGGGCCATAACATCATATTCAGTTTGACAAGTTAAAAAAAAATCTAACTAAAATTTAACTAAACAGGTAGGAGGAGATAAATGGCAGAAATTAAAGCTCCCCTCATATGCAGGCTGTGTGATGGGGTAACAGGGCCTGAGGTGGGAGTCCATCATTAGCCCAACTCCCCATGATCAAGTTTGGGCTGAAACAGGTCGAGAACAGTCTTCTCACTGAGTGGCCAACTGAACCTTTGCGTAGCCACTGATAGCCACTTAGTGGCCTCATCCCATCAGTGGTGGCATTCAGTCACAGTGATGGATAGGCACAATGTAGACACACCTCCACTTGAACCCTGGTACAAATGTCCGCAGCCTAACAGTGAAGGATTTACTTCTTCCAGCAGAGGAATGCATCGATGGAAAGGGAGGGACTGGCAGGAAGCCAGCAACCCTCTCTTCCTGAAATTCACCACTACCCTTGGGAGGTCTCCATGACTGGCCCTGGCAATCCTACTCAAATCACTTTTGTCTGGTTCCAGCAATGATCCTCATCCTCGAGTCTCTTGCAGTGCCACCAGTGATCATCTTACCCGGTGGCACTGCCTGTCTCTGATTAGCTGGCATAGGTTGGTCATTCATTCTACACTAGAAGGAGTTGGGAGAAAACATTGCTCTTTTAGAGCTGGAAAACCACGGTGCACCTAGAACATGGGCATCCTGCCTAATATACATATTTTGTCATGCCAAGTTTTGTTCATAACAATATAATCAAGGAATTATTGAGGAAGGTCCTTGGCCTGTTTTGTTCCAACCATCATCACTGGAATCATGCAGAGGTTTGGGGCACTGCCTAACCTCTATCCCGAGATATGTGGAAGTTTTTAATCAACAGTGTTGATTCTAACACCTTTCATTAATAACCCCAAAAAATGACTGCTATCTTTAAAATAAATCAATGGCTGTGTCTGAAAAGCTAATGAGGGGTAGCACTAGTTTTTCTAATATTTATTATGTCATGACCCGGTACATTCTGAACTTCTTTAACTTTAAACTAACTTTAATGTTTTAAAACATAACCACAAGAAGAATGCACAAACATGGTCTAGGACCATCTAACTTCTTTTATGATTGAAGCACTCCCCTTTCTCTGGAGGAAAGTAAATGACCATCCAGAATGATGCTGATCCAATGCCTTTTCTTGAAAAGCAATCAATAGCGAAAATTTCAAATTGAATCGGTCTTTCGCCTACAAAAACCTGGGCTATGTAAAACCCTCCAGGCATGAATGCCACCACAGAGGATGAATAATCTACCAAACTATCAATTTTAGTTAGGGAAAAGGACTTTGAATTTGTGGATGTGACCACGAGAAGACCATGCTTTCCATATGCTTTTAAAATACATCAGGAAACTGCTTTATGGTAAGAATTGTATAGTGTCCATTAGAAAAACAACTGAATCAGCTGCAATTCAACTGATCATCCAAAGTGAGAAATTGCAAAACCTAAAACGTGGAAGAAGTAATATTCCCAACTTCAAGTTCACGTGGGATTCAACTACATGGTAATTTGAGTACAAATGACCTTACATATTAAAGAGAATCCTCAGCAGTTCAAGACATTAGCTCCAGTCAAAGCAGCAACTCTGCTAAGAAACTACAGGCCTTCCACAAAGGAGAGACTAAGACAACAGTAGATTTGTAATCATATTGTTTATCCTCATCAGTATTTAATCTTTGTGCAAGTGACAATGTGTATAAGTCAAGTAAGTAAGACATTACATATTTAAACCTTCGAGGCAAGTGTGGGGAAATAAATAACTTTCCTAATTTTAAAAATGACATAAAGCTTGCTGCTGGGATTATTTGAGTTAGGCAATCACTCTGAAAGATAAGAAAACACATGTGCCTCAGACACAAAACATAATGATCATGAACAGCAATAAAGTGCATAAAGTTCTGTCCATGACAGATCATCTATAACATTTCTAAAGCATTTCTTAAAATATGTATGACATAGTTTCTCTATAATACTTCAATATAACAAGCATACCTCAATTTTTGTATCATTGCTATTGTCCTCAGCAGGTTGAATGTCAAAGATCTTAGTTGGATCTGCAAAGTCCTGTTCTGGACTAGCTCTGTTCGTATCCACTGATTTGGGTGGCTCCTGTCGCTTCAATCGGTGATTATAGGTTTTGAGACCGGTCAAGATATCTGAAGACAACCTCTGGCTAAACGTGTAGAACACTCCTAGAATAAAAACAGACAAACAGATGTGAGGTAACATGACATATTCTATTAATCAAGAGAACACAAACAGAAATTTCAAATCTGGAACTAACCATTGAGCATAAATGCATAAAAAGCAGCTGAACACAAGATTAGGGACCTTGTCAACTAACGTATCTTTTAGGCAGAATGTCAGAAACTGGAAGAGAAAATGAGATTCAATTGTGATAAAAGAACGGGACATTGAATATCCTCTTGAGGAGGTGTACATTTGGTGGAAAATTCAATGACGATGCTTACGAAAGAGTTATAAAAGATTTGCACTTTGCAAGCACATTGTATAACTACTGAATGGGGCAAGGTGATTTATAAGCAATGAAGTACATTTTGATTAAATTTATTGTTTTAATGATGCAAATGTAACAATCACCATAAAACTACCATCAATTTTCATTTAAAAAGTATATTAACTTCATTAACATCCTTTCGCGAAGAAAATTTGCTATCCTTACTTGGTCTGGCCTACACATGACTCTAGAGCCATGATAACGTGATCGACTCTTAACAAGCCATTCAGTTTGTAATTATGTTTGGGCAACAAACACAGGCCTTATTAGTGATGGGCACATCTCATGAAAGAAACACATTTCTTATTTCTTTTCTTGGAATTGATCAGTTTTGCTGAATCTCATAAAATTCTTTTGCACTTTTCAGAAAATGTATCTGCTGGATTTGATATTTATGAGACTGTCCCAATATTGGACATGATAATGATCTGCTGCGTCTTTTGCACTTCCAGAGAGAATTTTGTACGAACTTGGCACTAACACAATTTCAGTAGCATGTTGTCTGTTGCTACAAGGACATGATTTTTTTTCCGTAAATATTTGACTCCCCTTAAAGCAGAGGTGCTGGCCTAGTGGTATTATCACTGGACTGCTAACCTAGGGACCCACGTTCAAGCCCTGCCACAGCAGATGGTAAAATCTGAATTCAGTAAAATATCTGGAATTAAGAATCTAATAATGACCATGAATCCATCTGGATCACTAATGCCCTTTCAGGAAGAAAACTGCCATCCTTACCTGGTCTGGTCTACATGTGACTCCAAACCCACAGCAATGTGGTTGACTCTGGAAATTAGTGATGGGCAATAAATACCTAGCTAGCAATGCCCTCATACTCTAAATGAATAAAAAAACACAGACACATTTTTGTAAAGAATCCTGTCCATATGGAGCTGGCAAAAATGCTTTGAGAGAAACCATTTCCTTATTTTGTGGTCTTTACAGCTGTAGATGAATAAAACATGGCTGAAGTGACTGAAACACTGGTGTTATTAGCACACATGCTAGCTTTTAACTATCTATATCCACTGCTATAGATTTAAGCATAGCTTAGGATTGTTTACAGGATTCTTGTTGGCCAACATCAACATGCTGCCATAAAACAGTGAAAATCATGTCCCCTACATTTGGATAAATTCAAAAGGATATCATTGAGGTGTCTTCCATTTCTATACCACCACAAAATGACATATCAACATTCACTGAAGGCGATTCTTTTACTCCTATTCATGAAGGTCCAAGTCAATCAATCTTCCAACTTCAAATTGACATCTGATAAACCTTGGACAATTACATCCCATAACAAGCACCAACTCACACCAATAGATCTAGATTACATGGCTGCTAAAGTCAATAGATGTGAAGCTGGAAAAGCACAGCAGGTCAAACAGCATCCGAACAGCAGAAAAATCAATGTTTCGGGCTGAAACCCTTTCTCAGGACTGGGGTTAGGAAGGGAACCCAGAAGTAAATAGAGGGAGAGGGATGGGGCTGGGGGGAGGGTAGGTGGGATGGTGATAGGTGGATGCAGGAAGGAGTTATTGTGATTGGTCAGTGGGAAGGATGGAGCGGATAGATAAGTAGGAAGATGGACAGGTTGGATCAGGTCAGAGAGGTGAGGAAGAGGGGAAAGGCTTCCAAGGCAAAATATTCGGTGTTGTTCCTCCAGTTTACATTTGGCCTCACTTTGACAGTGGAGGGGGCCAAGGATGGACATGTCACCAGGGGAGTGGGAGGGAGAACTAAAATGGATGGCAACCAGAAGGTCGGGTTGGTTGGTGCGTACAGAGCACAGATGCTCTGCCAACTGGCCCCTGAGTTTGCGTTTGGTCTCCCTGATATAGAGGAGATCACATCAGGAACAATGGATATAATAGATCAGGTTGGATAAAGTGCAGGTAAATCCCTGCTGGATTTGGAAGGATTGTTTGGGGCCTTGGACGGAGGTGGGAAGGGAGGTGTTGGGGCAAGTGCTGCACCTCTTGCAGTTGCAGGGAAAGGTATCGGACGTGGTGGAGAGGTTGGTGGGAAGTGTAGAGCTTTCAAGGGAGTCACAGAGTGAATGGAACCTGCAGGAATTGGACAGAGCTGGGGAGGGAAATATCTTTTTGGTGGTGAGGTCTGATTGTAGGTGGTAGAAATGTCAGAGGATGAAGCGATGATTGAATGGCAAAGCACACTCGATGGGCCAAATGCCCTAATTTGTGTTCCTATGTCTTATGGTCTAACATAATCAAGACTGCTGCCACCCACATTATTCTCTCTTCCACCCTCTTCCGTCGAGCAGAAGGTATAAAAGTTTGAATACACGTATGAATAGATTCAAGAACAGCTTCTTTTCCACTGTTATCAGACTTTTGAATAGACCTCTCAAATGTTAATGTTGAGACCTCTCTCTGCACCTTTTCTGTGGCTGTAACACTACATTCTGCAATCTGTTCTGCTAGCCTGATGCATTTTGTATGGTATGATCTGCCTGTATAGTATGCAAAACAATATTTTTCACTATATCGCATTACATGTAACAACAATAAATCAATCAATACAAGAAATTGAATATTAAATATTGATACAATAATGATAAAGCTGATCCAATGACTGAAGACTGTCAATAATAATACACTTCTGGAGAGTGAGGGAAATTGGTGTGACTTGGCACAAATCATAAAAAGTTCCATCTGATCCAATGTACATTACACATCCTGAAATGATGCTGCCAGAGGGCATACCCTTCTCACAAACACAAACAATGCATATTTCCACTGACACTTTCTACACATTCATCATTTTCACAAGACACTTTCATTAAACATGCAGGAAATTATACCACCTGCTGAATCAGATATCAATATGCAATCAACTGGACACTAAAATCACAGCAAAAGAATTCTGAAGGCTAGTGTCTCATCAAAAAAACAGTCTTTTTTAAGGAAATTGGAGAGTGCCAGCAATAATTGTGCTTTGCACTGGCTCTCTTGGATAATGTTAAAAATCTGAGAATCAAATTTCCTGCTGTCTTAAACAAGATATCACATATCAGAACATCACTGCTGTGCAATGCTCAGTTTAAGTTATTATAGTCCAGCAGGCCAGGAATATATTCATCTCTAAAAAGTTTAAAATTCAATACGGTCACCAGACCGAGTGCAAATTTTGTGATGGATGAGTTGTTATTTGTTCTTTCAAATCAGATGTTTAAAGTCATATTTCTTTAGAACAGATTAAAATATCTCTTCACCTTCTTTTACAAAGGCAACTGTTGCTGCATTTCTGTACTTGCACCTTGACCTCTTCTATTACAGCATAAACACCATGAAATGTTACCACTGAGAGTCACATTGTTCTGACCTGCTGATTAAACGTGCTCCACAGGGTTACTTGCAGAACTTGCAGTTTCTTCCGCAAACTCATGTCGTTGCCAAGTTCTTCTGAGTTGTTTCTAAAACCTGTCTATGGGGGGGTCTTACAACATGTTTTTTTTTCCTCAAAGGGATGATTATTTTTGTAACATGTCCTGCTTTGACCTTTTCCCAAGTTTACTTTCATATTCGCATCATGGCACGCAATCAGCGTTAGTCACAAGCAAAACTGAATACAAGGCTTGTGCGTCATGACAGTTATAAACAAATTAGCATTTTTTCTGTGAAAATGATATTATCAAGAAGCATAAAACTAACTGATCAATGCAAACAATATGTCAAATTCACCAGAAAAGAAATGAATGATACAAATAACTTTTCCTATAATGTAGCACATTTCAACTTGTAGTATCGATTATCTAGTTCAAACCCTCCCTCCAAAGTTTCTTTCAATACCTTCAGTGTACAGAATCAATACATGTTAGTGGAAGCAAATCAGCATCATGCCATTGTGCACATTATTCTGTGTTGCTTCTACTTGAGAATAACAGCGTCCAGTTATCAGGAAGCTAAGAATTTCAAACGTCAAATGTTGTCTGACTTTCCCATAGCTGTTGCAATGATGTGAATATTCTTTTCAGCTACTTATAGAAACAATTACAGGAATAATTCTACGCTTAACAAAACAGTACAATATCCAACGTTAAGAAATGTGTGACAAGAAGTGAGAATGGATTATACTTATCCCAACCACTGTGTGAGGCAACCACACATGGAATTTAATGGTTGCCGCAATGGGCTGTCCACCCACTGGAGAGTCAATGGAAACACCACAGTGCCAATTGCCTGCAGCTCTGTTGGTATTAAGTCCCAATCAGGTAGTCACCGACTGGGCTTCCGGGTCTTGCAAGGAGACTTTTTGCCTCTGACCCATTCAGTTTCTGGCAGTGTCCAATATTCTCCAATCTTTGCAGCATTGCCAGTGTTGGTCCCAGGAGGAGGATCTTCGCTGGATTCTCTGGTGGGTCTTTTCTTTGGGCACAGGCTACTCAGGCAGTATGAACAACTTCCATCCACTAGGCTGGAGGCATGCCTGTCAGATTCACCTGGCAACTCACCTGAAGCTGCTTGAATGAACCGGCCTCAAGTATGGAGAAGCAAGTTGCAGTGATGAGGGTTTCTGATATGTTATTATCACAATTTGGAAACATGGGTTCCAAAGTGGATAGAAGCAGGTATAGCTTTAATTTCTAATACTTCTCTATTGTGCTGGTTGTGAAAGGAAAGATGTCATTTCATTTTTGAATTCTGTGAG